TATCATTTTCGGTTCCACTAATAATGCCATGTGTAATAAGTTTGTAAAAGAAATGCAAAGTGAATTTGAAATTTCACTTTCTAAATGATTTTAACGATTTTTATTATAGATTTTTTATTTCAAATGATTAGTGTGAAATAGATATGCCTTAGACAATAGCTTTGGTATCTTCTCAAAAGCCTATGTTTTAAGGGTACCATACCCACCTTAATGTGCTAACTTCCTTTTTTCAAAGGTTGCCAACATACCTTAGCGCACTTATCTCTTTTAAGAAGGTGATAAACGCACTTGGGTCTCTTTCGCTATTGTCTAAGGATATCTAATACATCCTAGAATGAATGTGTTTATGTATGAGAGACTTTAGTATGATGATGTTTATGCATACTTTTCTTAGTGCATTTATTTTCTCTTTTGGTTTTACCACTTATTGGATGATGTGGTATGAATGATACGACTTTGTCGAAAATCTTTTTATTGTAAAAGATATTTTTATGGCTTTATTTGTTTTTATGTTTTTTATGACCCTTTATCTCTTCTGTTGGTCAACGTGGCTACTTAGCTTACAAAGAACTTGAAACCAGGCTAGCTTAACTGAAGACTGTCCGAGATAAAGTTGGTTTATTCTTATCACTTTTATGGTTTTTTAGGGTTTTTCACTATTTTTGTTGTATGATTACCCTATGTTAATGCATCAATACAAATGCAGCAAACGAATGCACACACAATTCATTCATCCATGAGCAGAGCCACGCTATTTTCGAGGTGGGGTTTTCCTGCAGAAACGTGCTTGGTTTAGGTGGTTCTAAACTGTTCTCACCAAGGCCAAAGGTCCCCAAGGTGCCCCCATTATAGGGACCTCTCAATCTCTCAGTCCTCGGGTCATGCACGGAACTCCGTGTCGACATCCTTAGACCAAAAGAAGAGAGTTATCACCTTGAGTTGGTGGTTTCCGACAGCGGTTGTAGTCCCGTGTGCCAACAAGCCGGTCGTATCTGCCACCCACTCCCTATAGGTATTCACTCTTGCCCCCAGGTATAGAGGGAGTGTAGTGTGCAAGGGTTTTTGTGTGCAATTTATATTTCAGACAATTTGCAGAAAATAATCATACAACATTTATTAAAGCCATACAATAAAACATACGGAAGAGGGTAAAGGCGTAATTTCAAATCTTCACTTAGTTTGAATTTTATCCGTCACTAAATGGGATCAACTCTCTAGCTTCCCCAGTGGAGTCGCCATCTATCGTCGCCGTCTATTTCGACGTCTAGGGACATCTCGAACGTTTATGCGACCGGTCGCGAAAAGATGGTTTAGACTCACGTTTTTATTTTAAATGTGTTCATTGCTTCCGAGGTGCTCAACAACTGAACTATCCTCTAATAAAAGCAAGGTTTTCGAAAAAGGGTTCTTATGGAGTCGCCACCAATGTTTTGACCATAAACATTGGAAAAGGATAAAAAGGCGTTGATTTTAATAAAAACCAAACTTGGTCATTATAACCACAGTTAGGTAAGGGAGTTAGTTACGTGTGGGAAAGGTGTTAGCACCCCACAACGCCCCTTTCGGGTTCCCTATGACGGATTCATTCATTAAGTGAAGATTACGAGAAATTATGCTATTACCCTATTTTATTGCATAATATTGAAAAAATGACTATCTACATGACTTTATTTCATATTGCATACATAAAGCAATAAATAAAGCAATAAAAGAGAAGAGAAGTGAAGAGAACCTCCGTAGCAAGCTTTGTATTACAAATCTTTAACTGTGAGGATGCGTTTTGGCAATCCCCCGCTCTACAAAGACTCTCCTCCCAGAATACAATATCGACTCGACTAAATTTTAAAGAACAATCGAATGCTGGAATACAATTCCTTAACCAATTGTTACCTTTTTTAAGGCAATCGGAGAGTTCATTCGAAGTAGGGAGAGAAGACAAGTGTCTGGAGTTGTCTGGAGTGTGAAAAAGTTGCAAATGAGCCTCCTATTTATAGTTTTCGTAGCCTGGCAGCTTGGGACGGCCGTCTAGAGTTTGGAAATCAGGGATGGGCATCTGGGGAAGTCGGGACGACCGTCTAGGATTTGGGACAACCGTCCCAAGCACCAAAACCAGTTGGGACGGCCGTCTGGAACTTGGGACGGCCGTCTGGACATGTGGGACGGTCGTCCCAACTTCTAGGACGACCATCTCAACTGTTTTTGCCAGATTTTGTGTTCTGGGACCCCCGGGAAGCTTTCCTTTCTTTATTCGGACGTCGATTGATGCTGATAGACGTCCATTGAAGCTTTATCTTCATATAGGAAGTCTTCTTGGCCTTTATTGAGATGTTGGGCGAGCTTTATCTTGTTATAGGAAGTCTCCTTAGCCTTTATTGAGAGCCCGGGCAAAATTAGGGGTCTACAGCCACGATCTTCCTAACAACATGTGACTAGGTTTCATAGGGACCACATCACACACAATCTCATCTACATATTTCCCTATAGAAAAAGCTATCACCACTTGATTATCCACCACTAACTCTCCATCCTCACTTAACCACTGCAAAGAATAAGGACTAGGTGTATAGTGGTTTCCAATCCTATCTTCTCTACCAGCCTCTTACTCGCCACATTTGTGCAACTACCTCCATCAATGATGAGTGAGCACACCTTCCCCCCAACTAAGCATCTAGAATGGAAAATATTTCTCCTCACCATCAAGAGATCTCCCTCCAATGGTGGTACCTCACACTCTTCCTCTTTCTCACTAGATGAATGCTCATCCCTAGAGGATGACTCACTAATTGTCTCTCCACTCTCCAACAACATCATGGTTCTCCTATTGGGACATTGTGATGCAATATGCCCCTTTCCTAAACACTTAAAGCATTTAATAGAACTAGTGTGTGAAGTGGAAGAAGTAGGTTCAAAACTAGTTTTACCACTTGGAGACTCCTCCTTAGGCTTGGTGGACGTAGCTCCCTCCTTCTTGAATTTCTCCTTATCCCTCCAAGAGGTTGAAGCATGAGCGGATTTCTTGTATGAACTCCTCCTTTTAAGTTGTTGTTCTACCTTAGTAGCTTGATGAATGAGATCTTTCAAGGTGTTATAGTGATGCATCTCCACCACATCTTGAATCTCCCTATTCAACCCATTCAAGAATCTTGCCATGGTGGCCATGGGTGCTTCCTCTACCTCCGTCGTCATCAAGGTAACCTCCATCTCTTGGACGTACTCCTCCACACTCTTATTACGTTGGGTGAGTCTTTGTAATTTGTGGAACAAGTCTGTCTTGTAGTCGGGTCGCACAAATCTTTCTCTCATAGCCTCCTTCAATTCTCCCCATGCGGAAATAGGCATTCTCCTTCTCCTTGCTATATCAATGTTGATTTGGTTCCACCAATTCATTGCATAGCCTTCAAACTCCAAGGATGCCAACAAAACCTTGTCATCATCCCTATACTCAATTGATGTAAAAGTTTGGTCCAACTTCATCTCCCACGCTAAGTAAGCTTCTGGATCATTGGATCCTATGAACTTCGGAATCTTGACCATCTTTAAAACTTGATCCGCCCTCCTTGGTGTATGATCCTCATGATGCCTATGATTCCTCCTTTCTCTCGGTATCTTATAATCTCCTACCCCCTCACTTCCGTAGTATGAGTACTCGGATTCTTGACCCCTTCTTCTCCTTTCCATTACCTCTAATCTCCCACTTACTTCCTCATTGGTTTTCTGCAGCCTTTCAAAGCGGACTTGGTTATCTTGTTGCATTTGTGCCATTTGCCTTGTAAGTTGCTCCAGGGCCGCCATGATGCCAACTGTCTTGGGTGATGTTGGTTCGCTAGTTTGGGTTGGGGAAGCCATTCCTACAATAAAAGGTTAGCAAAAACAAAATATTGTTCCTCTCCACTCACTAAGTGTTTACACTCAATTCTCCTTGGTCCATAACAAAGAACTCAACACTTAAGCAAAGAAACAACAATGTGAAAAAGGACACGAAATCTAAGCTTGACTCAAGAGGTCAAAAACAATAAGAGACTCTAGAAAAAAACTCAAATAGGAGTGTGAAAGACAATTAACAAAGCTAGAAGAAAAGGTGCCAACAAAGGGTTTAACAAGACAAAAAGAAGAAAAAAGAAACCTGGGTGAATGCAACCAAAACAACAAACAACCACTCAGCAGAAAGAGAGTATGCTCACAAAGACTGAGTTCCTTTCTTTTGTATATTCTTTTCTTTTGTATTTTTCTTTCTTTTTCTTTTGTTTTTATTTATATTCTATTGTTTGTATTTCTTTGTATTCTTTTCTTTTTTTCTTTGTATTTTCTTTCTATTCTTCTATACTAAATCCATATACTATTTTTATTCTCTCAAACTTTGTTCAAACAAACCAGAAAATCAAATTTATTGCAGTATAATTTCTATAATCGCTAGTTACCAAGATGGTGGCTGGGCAAAAAATGTCGTAGCAGAAATTCAAACAACGCAATGCTCAAAACCCCGAAACCTAGAGATTTGCAATTTCACACCCAAAACTTGAAAGGAAGCACAGACTAGCAAAAGACAAATGTATAACATTTCCCGAACACAAGAACACAAAAACAACAGTTTTCCACGAATCAATTGCAGAAAAACAGAAATTTGGATGACTAACACCAAGAACACACAGTGCAGGAAAACTCCACAAAAATAATTAAAACTTGTAGGGTCATAATCCGCACAACACAAGGAACAACATTCACCAAATAGAATTTTTAAATGATAACATAGAATCCACAAATTTTGGGTTTTTGAAAAATTACCCAAAACGCACACGAACTGTCGTGGAATAACACAAAACTGGAACCCTTGCTCTTGATACCAAATGATAAGATCCTATCCAGGAATGAGTTTTTATTTTTGGATCGATTTTGGAGCTGCGTTCAACCACACATAATGTTAATAAAAGCAGAACAAGGGAAATCAAGAAGAAAGCGGAATAGCCAGGAATGGGGGAAGACACCACAGTCACAGGTAACTGATAAGTCAAGGAAGAATCGCCACAAAGTTGGAAACTTTGATAAGAATTCGACTTCTATGCTAAGAACAAAGAGAATCCTCTCTTCTCAAACATGGAGTTTAATTAATTTCTTTTCCCAAAAATCAAATTGTCCCCCTACAATTAGGTTTCCCCTTTACATAATAGGTGAGCTGCATCTTTGGGCTTTTTGCCTAAGCTTTCGCTCAGTGGGCCATCAATCTGCAAAATAAAAATGCAATCTCGCAAAATAAAATAAAATAAAATAATGCAGTCTCGCAAAAAAAAAAATACAAAATGCTTGCTTAGTGAGAGGTTCCAAGCCTTTCTTCAAAAAAGATAACTCCAGGTCTTCATATTTAAGTTTTCCAGGTCTACAATGCCTTGGAGCATCATGAGTCGTTTGGAGATGTGATCTTCTAAGCTCAACTCCATGATCTTGTCATAGGTCCCTTGAATTGCATTGGCTCCTCTTCAAGCTCTTCTTGCATAGGATACGGGGATAGTCCTCTATCACTTTCTAAATGTTAAAATACTCCCTTTCAATTGAAATTATGAATATGTTTATTCACCCATCTGACAAAAGGAAATCTCATCTCAATTTTGATTTCAGCAACTGAATTTACTTGCCCCCCATGGCTTTCTTTTAGTGTTAGGAAATTGATAACAAGAATCTTGAATCCCAACCCCATGACTGTAAGATGAAAATTGGTCAAATGACATAGCTCTGTACAGTGAAAGTTTCAGTACATTACAACTAAAATTGCATGTTTATTCCAAAAGTAAAATAGCCACTTGTAACATTTGCAACTTTTCAAACTGACTTGGGTTGTGTCATTTCATCTATTTACTATTTTTAAGTTATTGGAATCTCCGTCAGTTTTATTTTATTATATAAAACAATTAAATCATTACTAGTTAGATTTAGTCTGTATTTCTCAATTTCCATGCTGCATATCAGCGTGTCACTATACCGGAGATTTTGCATGATGAATGATTTAAAAAAGACTATAAACTTCCGGTTTTTCGAGGAGACAAAGGAGAGCAAGATTGATGATGACATTAAGGCCTTTTTTAAAGCCTATGAAGTATGTTGAAGATGGTCTGTGTGATTTTGGTATTGATTTTACATAAGCATTGTAATATTTCACACAAAGTAGTAGTTTCATATCAAGGATATTATCAAAAAATGCAGGTGCACAATGTTAGAGAGAAGGAAGATCAGCCAAAACCTATGAATGCATTTGAATTGATATCCTTGTCCAAAGGGCTGACCCTACAAAACTTGTTTGACATAGACCAGGTTTTTAACTTCATGAGATAGCATTGTTTTTATCATGATGATGAATCTTTAGCATCCATAGTTTTTACCTCCAATTCTCATCCACCAAGAATCTGATTGAGATGTGGAAAGGATTTCCAAATATCAAGGAAATGAGTGTAGCCCCATAGGAATGTATCATTGGATATTCAGGTTTTTATTTGCTTTCTAATTAGCCCCCTTATCACTGTCGTCAAAAGAGGCGGTCGAAACGACGCGATGGTTTTGTTTGACCTGCATTTTTTAAAGTGTGGTTCAAGGCCATTAGGTTGTCCGATAACCAGGCTGGACCTAAGGGCGAGGTTTTCGAAAGGGTTCGAGGAGTCGCCACCAATATTTTTACCGAAAATATTGGAAAAGGAAAAAGAAGGCAATGGTTTTTAAGAAAAACCAACTTTGGTCATTACAACCAGAGTTAGGTAAGGGAGTTAGTTACGTGTGGGGAAGGTATTAGCTTCCCCATGACGCCCCTTTCGGGTTCCCTATGATGGACTATTTTTATAGAGAAATAAGAACTTTAAAACTACGCTATTACCGTTATTTATTCATTGCGGAAATTAAGTTATCGAATACATGACCCTTAATAACTAATGCACAGAGATATTATCTAAAAAGCAATAAAATAGAGAAAGAGGTATGGAAGAACCTGCAAAGCAAGCTTTTATATAATATGTTCTTGAAAAGGGCGCTTTTTTGCAAACACCACGCCCTACAATGATGTTTGCTCTTTTTCTCGTATCACTTAAGAACGTTTTCTAAGAACTCTGGAAATGCTTCAGAGGGGTCCTAGGAGAGTATTTTGAGAATTGTGCAATAGGAGAAGTTGTAGAATTGTGTGAAAAGAGTGAGAAGGTCCCCCCCTTTTATAGGAATTCGCACCTGTCAGGTCAGGACCGCCGTCTCACCTTTGGCAAGTGGTGAGACGACGGTCTCATCAAACGATACAGCGGTCTCGCCCTTAGCCAATAGTGAGACGGCAGTCTCGACCCTTTGGGTGGAATTTCTTATTTTTCGTGTACAAAAATCCTTCCTATTCTAATATGGGGCATATTGATCAATTCTAGGGACCTTTTAGGCCTTGCCCATCTTCGAACGGAAGTCTTCTACTCTTTATTTTGAGGTTGGGCAAGATTTGGGGTCTACAACTGCCCCCCCCCCCTTCAACTTACTAGCCGACTATTGGCTCAATATGCCAAAAAGATCGACTAGAGGGTGAAGGAGTTAACCCTCTTGCCTAGTTGTCCTTCAGTTGCTTCCCTTGTCGTGGTAGCCGACCTTTTGGATGCTAAGTGTGATCCTATGGGATGCTCCTTTGAAGCGGTAGCTGACCCCTTCGGCTGATGAGTATGAACCCCCATATGGTTGTAAAGCTTGGTTTAAGCCCCCTTTTGTAAGGCTTGATGAGTACTCACCCCCATCTTGTTTTACGAGTATAAACCCCTGTCTGGTTATTGTAACCTTGGGCCGCTCTTTGGTAGCTGACCCTTTGGTTGCAAAGTTTGGTTTAAGCCCCCTTTTTTAAGGCTTGTGAGTACGCAGCCCCATCTGGTTTGAAGTCCTCTTCTGAAAGACTTGGTCGGAGTCCTCTTCTGTAAGACTCAATGAGTATAAACCCCCATCCAGTTTGAAGTCCTCTTCCGAAAGACTTGGCCGAAGTCCACTTCTATAAGACTCGACGAGAATAACCCCCATCCGGTTTGAAGTCTTCTTCTGAAAGACTTGGTCGGAGTCCCCTTCTGTAAGATTTGATGAGTATAAACCTCCATCCGGTTTGAAGTCCTCTTCTGAAAGACTTTGGTTTGAACTGATGTAATAGCGGCTTACTGATCTTGTTCATGCGCTGACTCCATGGGGAGTAATTTTTTTTGAAGATTTTTTTGCTTGACTTTTTGTTGTAGTCATCCGGTATGCTGGGGATTCTTTGCTTTTGGCTTTTTCTTTAGCCATCCAGCTTCTTGACTGCTGGGGATTGGATTTTTCCAACTATCATCCAACTTGTTTGATTGCTGGGGATTCTTGATGAATGCCTCTTAAGTAGGCAGAAATCCACTGGGGATTTGTAAATTTTGACGATGCCTCTTGAGTAGGCGAATGGTTCATTTGAATTAAAGACTTTAGTGTTTACACTATTTTGCCTCTGAATAGGCTGATATTCCACTGAGGATAGGTCTTTGAAAATGGCCTTTGCGATAGGCTTACTGGGGATAGGTTCCTTTCTCTCTTTTTTGGTTGATCCACCGGGGAATTGGTTGACTTCCCGGGGATCAGATTTTGGTAGCCCTTTGGGGGAATGGAGTCTCGACTCCTTAATTGATATAGGTGCGAGCTAGTCTTTGTGATGCTCTTATTCTGTTGGAATTTTCGATTCCTTCTTTTTTTGTTGACTTAGGGATTTTATTTATTACCTAAAAGTTAGGATTTTTATTTGATTTTGCCTTTTTCCGCAATTTATCTTTTTTTCGCGATTTGAATTTTGGCTTTTTGGGATATTGCGTGTGCCTTTTTACTTTTTAGTTTCTTTTATACACGCATGTTTTTTCCTTTTTTTGGGGGTGGTCCGCTAGGGATGAAGCTTTTTGGTAATCCACCAAGGAATTAGTCGACTTCCTGGGGGATTCAATTTTTCTTTTCTGGGGATGGAGTTTTGGCTCCTTGATTGATGTTGATGCGAGCTGACCTTGTGAAGTTCTTATTTTATTGAGGGATGGGAAATTTTTTATTCCTTCTTTTTGTAGACTTTTCTGGGAAGATCCACTTGGGGATTTTTATTCAGCCTACTTTGTTGCGGCCCTTTCTTTTGGACATTTGTTGGAGATGAAGGGTTTTCTTCTTTTTCTTTTTTGGTTGGAACCCTGTGAAGGTTTAGATCCCTTGATCATTTGATGATTTGGATGTGACGCATTTATTCTTCCATTGGGTAATGTGGCGGAGATTTGGTTGAGTACGCTTGATGACTCATGTGGTGGCGATGTTGAGCCTTGGGGTAATATTTTTGGTTTTCTGCCTCTGGAGTAAACAGGGATCCGCTTGGGGATAACTAAGCCTTTCCGCAGGCTTTTCTTTTCTGGTGTGCCTTCTTTTTAGTGGGTAGAAGGAAGATGGTTGAAGCTTTGGCTTTGAAAGCTCTTGTTTTACTTGAGACACTTGATTATTGACGACTTGCTTCCGTTTTCTTGAGGGGAGTTGTCGCCGCCGTCAAAATGAGGTGGTCGAAGCGACGCGATGGTTCTGACTTTCCATTTTTCGCGTTTTTATGGGTTTGGTTACAACGCCTTTAGGTTGTCCGATAATCGGGCTGAACCTAGGGGCGAGGTTTTCGAAAAGGTGTTCTTGGATTTTCTGATAACCGGGCTAACCCAAGAACTAATTTTGAATGGTTCTTATGGAGTTGCCATCGATGTTTTTACCGGAAACATCGAAAAAGGAGTAAAAAGGCATTGGTTTTTGAAAACCAACTTTGGTCATTAAAACTAGAGTTGGGTAAGGGAGTTAGTTACGTGTAAGGGAAGTGTTAGTTCCCTTACGACGCCCCTTTCGGGTTCCCTATGATAGGCCAGCTATTTAATAAATAAACTTTGTGAAAAGATGCTTTTACCCTTTTATTTGCGGAATTAAAAGAATGACTACATGGCGCTAATATCTATTACGCAATTTAATCATAAAAGTAAAGGCAATAAAGAGAGAGAGAGAATGAAGAAACCTCCGAAGCAAGCTCTTAATTAATTTCTTGAAAATTAGGGTGCGTTTTGGTAGCCCTTCGCTCTTTACAACGTTGAAAAACTCTCGGAAACGCTATAAAAATCTCTAAAAAACTCTCAGAAACTCCAGAAATGCTTCGGAGGGGTTCTAGGAAGAGAATTTGAAGAAGTTGCAGAAGGGTAAGTGGAAGAACTGTGTGAAATGAGGGGGGAAGCGCTCGTTATTCGAGACGGTTGTCTCCTCTGACAAGGTTGAGACGGTCATCTCGTCTGACAAGGTTGAGATGGTCGTCTCGTCTGACAAGGTTGAGACAGTCGTCTCGTCTGACAAGGTTGAGACGACCGTCTCGCCATTTGGGACGGCCGTCTCGCCTTGCAAAAATGGCGAGAAGGTCATCTCACCAAACGAGAAGGGGGTCTCGCCATTCGCAAGTGGCGAGACGGCTATCTCGCCAAACGAGATGGCGGTCTCGACTTGCAGGAATGGCGAGATGGCGGTCCCGAAGAGCGAGACGGTGGTCTCGATCCCTGAAGGCGAAAATCCTTATGTTAATGCATTAAATCCTTCCTATCCTAGTGTGGGGCCTAATAATCTCTCCTAGTGGCTTCTTAGGCTTCGTCCATCTTCGAATAGGAGGTCTTCTGGTCTTTATTATGAGGCCAGACAAGATTTGGGGTCTACAGCTGCCCCCCGTTTACCTGACCAGTCAACTATTGGCCTGTCGTGCCAAGAAGATTGACTGGAGGATAAAGGATTTGACCCTCTTACCCGGTTACCCTTCGGACGTCCCTTCTTGCGGCGGTTGATCTTCTAGGGAAAAGTTATGTTGTGCACCTCCAGGATACTCCTTCTGACGGTAGCCGATCCCTTCGGTTGGCACATGGTAGAACCTCAGGATACTCCTTCTGCCGGTAGCTGATCCTTCAGTTGATGGGTATAAACCCCCCATCAGGCTGGTAATTACAGCCCACTGTGCGTAGGACTGGATGAGTATGAAGCTCCCATCAGGTTGGTAATTGCAGTCCGCTGTGCGTCGGACTGGATGAGTATGAACCCCCCCTCAGGTTGGTAGTTGCAGTCCGCTATGCGTCGAACTGGATGAGTATGAACCCCCCATTAGGCTGGTAATTGTGACTTACTAATCCGGCTCGAGCGCAGATCAAGCGCACCGCGTGCGCGGGTTGCTAGGTATGAACTCCCTATCAGGCTGGTATAGCCCACTGCGTAGGACTGGTGGTGGTGGCGGCTTACTGCTGGGGTGGCTCATGCGCGCAAGCGTCGAGATGCGTTCTCTTGTCTTTGTTTTTTTTTTCTCTAAGAATGGTCGTTCGGTCCATACCGGGGATTCCATTGGTGTTCATCCAACTTGTTGGTTGCTGGGGATTCTTTGATTTTGATCTTTTGGTGGTGGTCATCCGACTTCGCTGGTCAT